ACGACGACGACGACGACGACGACGACGACGACGACGACGACGACGACGACTGCGGACCAGACACATATGTGGATTCCTACGCGGACACCTACGCGGATCCCAATGCGCACGGCGGCAGTGCGCGGAGCGCACTGGGGGAGGAGCGTTACGTCATGGGGGGGGGGAGCGGGGGCCATGACGCCCGTCATGCCCCAAACAATCAAGAAACATGCTCTTTAGAACCCACAAGATGCTCCAAGAACAAGGACATGGTTTTCAGAACGAAAGGACTTTTGGAACATTCTCTGGTGGGCCTATAGGCAAGCCAGGACGCTTCGCACATCGTCCCCACACGAATCCTTAACTAATGTGTGGATCTTCCTCCTGTAGAAGGACACGACCGACTTCACGTTATACTTGAGCAGGGGCCGACCGTATCGGCATTACTAATAGGCATGCCACGAAATAATTGTAGAACCCAACAATGGTCGAATAACAAAACAATAGTTGTAGAAGATAAGCCCGAGGTGTTCTAACATGACAGTGTCAGCCATAAATGTTGAAACACATTTCGCGCAGTCCAGCCAGGACGCTTCGCCATTGAGCCGGCGGCTACAAGGGAAACCCGACCGCAAGAAACCTTTCGCAACAAGCCCACTCCTGAGACCCCCAGGACGTCCATTGATTCTTGGTGGGGGCTCGCGCTGTCCACAGCAGAACCATCGAAACCCAAGCAACCCAGGGCACCCTGGAGAGGAGCAGGGTGTTCCTTGGCGTTGGCCTTCACCATAGGTAGGGGACGTTTGCGCTGGCGATGGATCGTGCCCAAGCGGCGATTCCGTTCGAGCGCCTGGAGCCACCATATGCAAGAGGAACGGGGGGAGGACGCGGCCGAAAGAGGGGGCGGACGGAGCGAGCGGCTCAGGGGGGAGGGGTCGCTCCCCGAGCGGCGGCGCGGCCAACGTTTGCTTGTACGCCGCACCTTCCCCGCCCAGGTCAGACTCCACCGCCCAGAGCCACGTTCCGTGTACAAAAAAACGCCCCATGGGAGGGAACCCACCACCGAGACCCTCGCCCACTCCCCAAGGCGTTTGTGGGAAACCAAAGGGTACCGATACCGCTACTCCCTGCACCTCTCCAGGGGGGCGCACCGATCATGATTTCGACGCGAATCCAGCGGTGGCGGCGAGGGCCTCCCAGGAGGCCCAAAAAGGGGAACACAAGGCAAGGGGTAGAGGTGTGGGAACGTGCTTACGACAGAATTGAAACATCTGAGAGACACCTGGAAATTGTTCGGCAGCATGCTTCCTCTCCATTGACCGTCGCCCACAATCCAAGCTCAGGGGCGCTCCCAGGGCCCTCGGGGCTGCCGCGACCGCCCACGACGTGGCACGGCGGGCGCCACCTCGGTGGCCCCGCCCAGCGCACGGGGACGCCCACGGGTGCGCCCACGGAGGCAGCGCCCACGAGACCACGCGGCGCCACCTCGGCGGAGGCCGCCCCAGCGCGCGGGGCGCCCCCGATGCGTATGTTTCTGTATGTTTTGTGTTGGCTTTGTTTGCTGTAATTCCTGCTGTTCCCCCTCCCCCCCCACAAATCCAAATCGAGCAACCAAGCAATCCTAGCGGCCGTGCCTGGTCGTGCTGCCGTCGCGGGGCGCCCCCCGGGGCGGGAGAGCGGGAGGGGAAAATGGCGGGCTCTAGAGGCGGCCCAGGAGGTCAGACGGCGCAGGTCGGAACACTGACCCAACTCTCCCTGCACACACACACACACACACCACACGCACAGACACACAAACACACACAAACACACGCACACACACACATTTCTTCTCTTTCTCTCTCGCACACACTCCCCTCCACCACACACACACACACCACACACACACACACACTCCCCCACACACTCCACACACACACACACACACACACGCGCTCTCTCCCGCTCTCTCTCTCTCTCTCTCTCTCTTTCTCTCCCTCGCTCTCTCACTCCCACGCACACACGCACGCACACACCACACACACACACACCCTCCCCCACACACTCCCCCACCCACCCACCCACACACACACACGCTCTCTCTCTCTCTCGCTCTCTCTATCTCTCTCTCTCTCTCTCGCTCTCTCACTCCCCCCACACGCACGCACGCACGCACGCACGCACGCACGCACGCACGCACGCACACACACACACACACACACACACATTCACACTCACACTCACTCACACACACACACACACACACACGCGAGCTACTGCATGGTCAGAGAGACGTCGTCAGGCTCCAGCGTCGCCTCCCACACCACGCTCCGCAGCGCCAAACACCGCAGCCAGTGCTCCCACCCACCTCGCACGCGCTGGCCCCCCCGGCACTCCGGCTGCTAGAGAGTGGAGTTGTTTCGCGCACGCGCTCTCGGGCGAGCACGGCGGCACGTATGTTGCGCCACTCCGCCGCGAGCACGTCGCGCACCCCCGCGAGCAGCGACAGCACTTGGCCCCACTGCCCGACCTGCTGGAACATGTTGGCCGCGGTGCCGTAGGCGGTGGCGTCGGCGGCCAGCTATCTGGCGGGCATGGCTCGGAGCAGGCTCAGCGCCTGCTGCAACCGCCCGCCCTTCTCGCACGCGTTGATCCCGGTGGTGTAGCTGACCGTTCAGGTCGGGCGTGTCCTCCTGCAGGCGAACTTTGGGCGAAACATCGAAACTAGCCAACAAAAGTACCCAACAAAAAACAAGCATAGCAAACAACCCATAACAATCGTCCCCAGACTATTGTTTCACTAGTTCTGAATATTCCTGCTGTAGAAGGACACACCCGACTTAAGACCATGGCGGACCCGTGGACTGCGTCCACGACATCTGCACGGCAATGGCACGTTGTGGTGGACATAGTTAGAGAAACGAGGAATGACATGAACACCAAAACTCGGAGGTCCGCGCGGATTGCTCCGCGCTGGGGCCCCCTGGGCGGCGCCTCCGGCGCCGCCCCTGGCGCGCTCCGCGCGCCAGGGAGAGGGGCCCAGCGCCGATCCAAGAAATCCGCGCGGACCTCTGAGTTGTTATGTTTATGTCAATGTTTGTTTCCTTGGGCATATGGTGGTGGACGTGCTGCAGAAAAGCTGAGATTACAATTTGGGGCTCGAACTTCGGATTTCGCGTATGCTACTGCGCGCTGCTGCCTGCTGCCGATGCTTCGTGCTAGTGGTGATGCTTGCCGCTGTTGCGTGCTGTTGCTGCTTGTGCGAGCAAGGTGATGCTGATGGCCAGTTCTTCTTTCTGCGTGCCGCTGCCCGCTGCCTGCTGCTACTGCTGCGTGCGGTTGCTGTGCGCTCCCACTGCTGCTGCCTGCTTCACGCTGATTCCGTTGGCTGCTGCTCATTGGTAATGCAGGATGCTGCTGCTCTCTACTTCAGCGTTCTGACGCAGCCCGCTGCTGGGAGAGGTTCGAAGAGCAGCGAGTCAAAATTGCGAGTAGCGAGGAGGTCGAGGGGGAGAAGCGCTGGGCGATCAGCGAAGCGCGAGGAGCGAGAAGGGAGGAGCGACGGCCGAGAGGAGATGGGCGAGGAGCGTCGAGGTCCGAGGAGGTCCATCGGGCTCCGGGGCCGTCAAACATCTGGGGTGAGAGAGACCAGTCCGGACAGACCACCCCCCCAGGGTATTGGGGCCAATTCCTCGGGAATTTGGGGAATTTTGTCGATGTTGAGGGGGCGTTGGGTTGGGGGCTCGAGGAGTTGATGTCTACTACTTGTTTATGTACGCTGCTTGCTGCTAATTCGTGCTGCGTGCAAACGGCTTGTCTTTTGTTTTGGCGTGTTGCCTGCTGGCTTGCTGGCTTGCTGGCTAGCTGGCTTGCTGTTTGCTGCTGCTGATTGCTGCTGCTTGCTTCCGAAAGCTGTGATGGGGGTCTCCCTGGGTGAATCTCGGCCTTCTCATGTCTTCTTTCAAATTTCTTGGGCTACCTTGGAGCCCGTCTAAGCCTTCGGGGGTATAAAGGGGCTGCAGGAGTGGATCTTGGGCCGCCCTGGGGCAATTTCGAGCCGCCTTGGGGCAGCCTAAGGACCCAAGGCTGGAAAATCTCCCCGATGGGTGGCCACCCAGTCAAGCTGGAGCAGCCCCAACGAAGGGAGGAAACAAGAAATAACTGGGTGCCGAATTCCATGATGCTTGACGAGATCCTACAGTGTTGTCTTCCATCGGAAGCCTCTTGGAGGCGGCTTTGGAAGTGTCTTGGGGCTTCTCGGGGGCCTCTTGGCGCCTGTTTAGAACCTCTTGGAAGCCTCCAGGGGCTTTTGGGGAGCCTCTTGGGGGCTGCTGGCTGTCTCGGGGGCCATCCTGCGATAGATGGCGCGGAATACCATGCCGAAATACCCTTCTTGGAAATCTTATTGGGCCAGTCTTGGGCCGCTTGGGCGGTCTTGGGGTCCTGAAACCAGAGGATCGGCTAAGATATCCTCACAATCTACGAGTCTGAGCGCAAGTGTGTCGCAAGTCCAAGTGTGAGTGAGGCTGATTGTGAACGAGTCTCAGTGTGAGTGCCTCTGAGTATGAATGCGTCTGAGTATGAGTGAGTCTGAGCATGAGTGAGCCTGAGTGCGAGTGAGTCCGAAGTCCGAGTCTGAGGAAATCTGCGCATGGGTGAGTCTTGAGCGCGAGTGAGTCTGGGCACGAGGGAGCCTGCGTGAGGAGGAGGAGGAGGATGCAAATGAGTCCGGGCGTGAGCAATTCTGAGCACGAGCGAGTCCGAGTAAATGTCTGGGTGGGGAAGAGGAAGATGCGAGGATGCGAACCCCATCTCGCAATAAGGAGAAACAACACTGGTTGTTGCTCCTGGAGGCGCCCGGGGTCCTCTCGGAGGTGTCTGGGTACGCGTGTGGGGACTCCGGGGGCCCCCTTCCTCCTCCGCCTCCTCCTCCTCCTTCTCCGCTTGACCCACGGAGCTGGGTTGCGCCCTCCATTGCGCGCCGCGGCTCGAGACTGTGCTCCTGCCCACGCGCCGGACGGCGTGTGGCCTGTGAGCGCGAGAGAGGGCCGGCGTGGGCCCCCCTGGGGGCGTTCAGTGGGCTGCGTCGGAGCTTCGGCGGGCTGTCTCGGAGCCCTCTTGGGCGGTGTGCGGCAGGGGGCCCGACCACTGACAAGAGACCTTCCACCAAAAAAAACCAGCCATGAGACCCCAGGAACTCCATCAATCTTTGGTGTGGGAACGTCACGCTTGCCATCGCAGAACCATCGAAGCCCAGGAAACCCATGACACCCTGGAGGCAAGCAGGGTTTTGTTTGGCATGGGTCTCCACTGTATCGCGCACCTCTGGGAACGTCTTGGAACTATCTTGTGGCCCTCTTGGGCCATCTTGGAGCGCCACAGGGGGGCAAGGAGCGCGCAAGAGCAGGCCGGGCCGACTTTCAGGCACCTGGGCGCCCAGCATGCCCGCACGTGCTGCGCCCGCCTCGGAATGGACAGAGGACATCGGGCTCCAGCTTCACCTCCCACATATCGCTGAGCAGTGCCAGAATCAAATGCCACCGCCCACCCCTCTCGCACGCGCTGATCCCGGCGTTGTAGCTGACTGGTGTGCACCCGCGGGATGTCATCGGCAGGCAGGTCGAAGTGCTAGCCCTGAACGCGCAGATGCCGCGGAGGCTCCCCCCGTCTCCCGCCAATCGTTCATAGGGAGGGGGGGCCCGAGGCTGACTGGTGTGTGCAGGGATGGGAGGGGGAGAGAGCGAGGGGAAGGACGGCGAGCAGAAGGAGAAGGAAAAGAGCGGCACCGCAGAGATGGGTGTGGCGGCGGAGAGAGGGGTGTGGAGTGCGGAGGCACCTGGAGGAGGAGGAGGAGGAGGAGAAGGAGGAGGAGGAGGGAACAAAGAAAAGATATCAGCGAAAGGGACTTGCCGGAGCGTCCTCTGGGGTACGGGAAAATTGCCGGTTGTTGCGGCTCTCTCAGTTCTCTCGGAAGCTCCTTTGGGGAGGCCTAATAAAAGTACCGATACCGCAACTCCGCGGACCTCTACAGGGACACGTTCAGGCCAGAATTTCGACGCGAAGCCAGCAGTGGCGACGAGAGCCTCTCAGGAGGCCTAACAAAATCAATACGAGGCAGGGGCAGCGGTCCGTTCCTCCTCTGAGCCTTGGCAACCATCTGATGCGTCAATCCTCCACCAACACTACCACACGCAGGACGAGCGAAAAGGGAGGATAGGGGGGTCATCCTCCTCCCCCTCCTCCTCATCCTGCTCCGTATCCGTCTCCTCCTCCTCCTCCTCCTCCTCCTCCTCCTCCTCCTCCTCCTGTTCCCTCTCCTACTTGTGGTAGTGGTGGTGGGAACTCGGCGCAGCGCCGTCGGAGCCTTTTGGTGGCCGCTGGGGCAGCTGCGGGCGGGCGGGGTCGGGAGCTTGTTCTCTGGGGCTGCCAGGTCCCCCCTGCCAGGCGCGGACAAGGAGGAACCCATGGCTCGCGGGCGCGCTGGCGCGCGGAACAAATATAGCAAGAGTGGACGGTTTCCCCCGGGGCCGTGAGCGACCCGAGGAGGAGGAGGAGGGCGAGGAGGAGGAGGAGGAAGAGGAGGGGGCGGAGGGGGAGGAGAAGGAGGAGGAGGAGGAGGAGGAGGAGGAGGAATGCACGAGGGGCCACGTGCCTGTCCCGTGGGCCCCCTTGGGGCCTTCTTGGGGCCCGCAATCGGCCGTCTTGGGGCTCTCTTAGGGCCAGGGCCCCCCAACGCGGTCTCAGCGGGCCTCAACGCGGCTCCAAGAGGAGCCAATAACCTGTCACGAACAATGTTTTTTGTGGCAGGCTGTTGGACCCTGAAGCCCTCGTGGCGTCATCTTGGGGCCTTTTTCGGGGAATTCCAGGGCCCTCCAGTGCGATTTCGGAGGGCCTGAGGAGACCCCAGTATGGCCTCCGACGGATGCTACAACGCCCCCACTCCTGTTGTAGCATCCGTCGGGTGCCTTCTTGGGACTCTCTTGGGGCAGTTTGGGGCCCTATCGGGGCCCTCTGCGGGTCCCCCCCCCGCCTTCAGAGCGCCCCCGTAGGACTCCAAGAGGGCCCCAATGTTGCTCCAAAGAGGACACCCAACGGATGCCACAGCGCACCCTCCTGTTCTAGCGTCCGTCGGGTGTCTTTTCGGGGCCCCCTCGGGCCCCTTCCGGCGCCCTCTTGGGCCCATCTGCAGGCTCTACCACCGCTCCCAGAGGCCCCAAAAAGGACCCTAAGAGGCCCCCCCAACGGATGCTACGACGCGCACGAACGCACACCCGTGTTGTAGCATCCGTCGGGGGGGCATCTTGGGGCCCTCGTGGGGTCATTGTGGGGTCACCTTGGGTTTCTCCCAAAGCCTCCCGGGCCCGCTTGGAGTCCTCTTGGTCACTTTGAGGCCCTTAGGGGGCCCTCTCGGGGCTTGGGCACGCACGCGACGTGCCGCTTGTATGCGTCGTACTCTGGAGCTGGAAGGGAGAACCCCTTCAACGACCCACGCCCAGAGGGCTTGTGGGATTGCAGGGCCATCGCGGGGCGTTGCAAGATCTG